ATCCATTGCATCCACTTACGTGCTTTGGGAAAGGTATGAATCCTCTTCTTCTCCTTCCAGTAAATAGCAGGAAAGATGGATGGCAACTAGTCTACTGCGAGAAAAAATCTACCTCGTCAGTCATGTATCGAAAGATACATTATCGCCTAAGCGTGTATCACGCATGGTACATTAACTGAACTGATATATACGAAGACGGTTTGAAAATTATCCTGCTATCTAATATTAACGAAAGAAAAGACGGTCTAAGGACAATGGCGCCTTAGTTCGCTTTAAAGAAATGACTTTGTTACTTCGCGCTCTTATCAAAGTGTCATTACGCTTTTCAAAACGATCTACAATGTCCTCTTTTGGGATAATAATCAGATGCTTCTTTGTGTTTTAGTTAATATAGCGCACGGTCTGAAAGAGGGACGGTCGAGTAAAAATCCGTCATATCTGACCTGGGTGATGCAATGTTTTTTTTTTTTTGTGGGCAATTTTGATTGTCTTCTTGCCCAGTCACGGAGAAGGTGAAGGTGACACAGTGCACAAGTTCGCTCAATGGCGTCTCATCTCCGACTGCGTAATCCCTTGGGAGAGTACCTGTTCACGCATACGTAGCAAGGTTTCGTCTGATTGAATGCCCAACCAATTCTGATGATATCACCCCCACCTGCACCAAAAAAAAAAAAAAGACTGAATAATTTCCGGATAGACTTGAGGAATTTTTGCGTTCCGATTAAATAGAGTCCGCAGACTGACAGGGAACGGCTTGCGAGACATATCTGGATGGAGAGCGTGAATTAATCAAAGGACAGTCATTTACGCACGGCTAAACATCCCTGCTGCTTCTCGTATTAGCGCTTTGGGAATGAAATAAAATAAAAACAAGACTTTTTTCCACATCCATCATTTCGCCGTCAGTCCACGCCACCCAAATCAGCATCCGTTTCCTTGCTCATATCCGAACATCTTTTACCCTAACCACCACAACCAGACCACTCGTTCTCCGACCATAACCCTGCCTTTTTTTTCTTCTACTACTCATACTACTTTCATATCTTTGCTTGCGCGTGAGAGAAAGAAATTGGCGCAGCTGGTAGAGGAGGTGATCGTGTCGGCCGGAAACGCTGGGCTTGGTTATGGCGTGAATTCGTTGTTTCGGGGACGGAACTGGTTTTGGCGCCTCAGACACAATTGAAGGATTCCCCACCCTACCATTTTCGGCGCTTCCGCCTTTCAACTATCACGACTTTCCTTAACCTTATGTCACACATGTCAACCGACCCACAACAAATAAACGTTTATCAGTTTCCCAGGAAATCAATTCCGTATCGAAAAAAGACAAAAAAAAAAAAAAAGAATATACGGTAGGATTAGGTCGGCGGTCTGAGAGGCGACGGGATTTACGGTGTTGGTTGGGGGTGAGAAAAAGATAGAGAATAAGAGGTCAAAGGATGCGCTGTGTTTGGAATTGGGCAGAAAGAATGGTAACGAAATCAGGGTGATTCGAAAGGAAATACATGACTAAAACTTTCAATTTCTTTAGGATTTTATGGAGAGGCTTCTCGTTATCTAAATTAGATCAGGTTTAGCCTGACTTTGTGAATGTTATCGTGATTATCTTTGTGGATTCTCAGAAGGTTTCGACGCTAATTGAATAAAGAAATATCGAGCGTAGAATGCAAAGCAGTTTAAAAGCTATACAAGAGAAACAGGACCATTTGCAAGAAGATAAAGTGTATAGAATGTAGCAAGAGAAAATGGAGATGGAATTGGAGAGGCCAATATTAAACAAGTATGTAAATAATATATAAAAATAAAATATATTAAAATAATTATCGGACTTACTCCATTTAGTAGTGTGTAATATATACATATATATATATATATATATAATAATTTTTTCACATATACAAAAATAATTTACTCACTACAAAGATGCAACTTTGTTTCGGTGCATTTAGTTGCACATCAACTGGTGAGAAGAACTCACCTGTCGAGGTGCAACTAATTGCACCGAAACAAGGTTGCATCTTTGTAAAGAGTAAATAATTTTTGTATATGTAAAAATTATAATAAATAATTATTGCTCTACTCTCGGTATTGGACACATTTTTGAATCAATGCTGTAAACGTTAGAATTTGTATATTATTTTCGTTCTTATATACATTATTATATATATATATATATATATATATATATATATATATATATATATATATATATATATATTAATTTAAATAGACAACCTTAATTAATATATATTAAAACAGAAAACCCTAAACACACACACACATATATATATTAACAGAGAACCTTAATATATATATATATATATATATATATATATATATATATATATATATATATATATATAAATTAATTTAAATTAAAATATATATAAATTAATATATATATATATATATATATATATATATATATATATATATATATATATATAAGTGGACACTGAGGTCAACACTGAATGGTGACAGTCTGTTTCATGCTTGAATTAAGGGCCTTTAGTTCCAGTAAATAGGCGTGTTATTGTCACTATTTCAGTACTCAGGCAAATTCTTGATACTAAGCTTTTCATTTTTGTTGGATTTCAACTGATAATGGATGCCGCCAATGTTTAACGATTAGTTGGGAATGGCACAAGACCAAATCGATGGCTGTGTTACGAGCATTCTCCAAGTGATAAAGCCCGTCTGCAGATCTATGAGTGTTTGCTATATGATATTTACAAGCTTTGTCTTGTGACATTAGGATAAGTCAACTTCACTGGCTCAAGAAAAAAAAATTTCTATTCCAATGCGTCGTTCAAACGAACCAATTATTCACTGTAATGTTACTCATTGGCAGTTTGTTCAAATTCCAGAGAATTTGTAATAAAATATTCCCTTTTTAATCCAACTAATATAAATAAAATCTTTGTAACGGAGATGTTAAATGATGTCTAGACAAGTTTTATTTTACTTAATAAAACCCTTTTTTTATCGTCAGTAAATATATTTTTCCGTAATAGATTCGGTTTTAGTGAAGGTGTCAAAGGATACCCTGGAGCGGAGCTAAAATTGTCTTCGTTTTGACTCACATAATAAATCCATTTTTCATCACCAGTGACTCTTTTGTTCAAAAATGACTTTTTTTTCTTCTGTTTCGAACAAAAAGAGAAAAACAATTATTTAAACCAGGGGTGGGCAAACGTCTCTTCACAGCGGCCCATATCACTTCCAACTATGCAGAGTTGGCCGTATCACAATAACAACACGAATTTCACAACGACAATATAAGTAACAGGAGTGGATAGGTTCACCTATCATTCAGTTCACACTCCTCTCTGGTCTTTCGAACAGGAGTAGAGGTTTATCCATTGGTTCCTGTCTAGGAGTAGATTTCCGGTTCCTTCTAAACTCTATACTCCTAACGATTGTCCTTTCTTACGCTAATCTTACGCAACTCCATACAGTAACACTCTACTTTGAGTGGTTCTTAGGTCTTATATTGAGTTCATATTTAATATTATTAATACGATTTGTGTAGGTGAGGAAGTTTTTTTTGTAATTAGGATTCAGTTTACTCGTGGACGTACGCAAGAAGGATTGCATATTCAAATCTCTTAGCTGAGTCTTAATTTTGATTTTCTTAATAAAATTAAAATAAATATTAAATGTAGACAATTTCCGTCTTTGTTCTTTTTGTTTCTGTTTGGAATAAGTTATAATTTTTTGCAACATGCATCTACCAAATACCAACATTTTTCTTTTAAAAATGAACGTTTGTTGTTCTTTTGCAGGCTGCATAAAATCCTCAGACAAACCACATGCGACCCACAGACCGCCTGCGACCCACAGACCGCCTGCGACCCATAGACCGCCTGCGACCCACAGACCGCCTGCGACCCACAGGACCTAGCTTGCCCATCACAGGTTTAAACATTGACTAATATTCCTTTCTCGAACATTATATGGAACTAATTTTATGTTTTATTTTTTTTTAATCAGATTTTCTTTTCATCTTAATTTTTGTTGCTTTCTTATTGATATAATGGAATATGCATATACCTGTGTTCCCCGTCACTGGAATAAGATTGGCTGGTGTCCGTCATAAATACCGACGGACGTGTAGGTACGACAGAGACAAAGAGCCTTAAGAGTCGTTGAGCAGTCTCTGACTGTGTGCGACTTCTGTCGAACTCTCTGCTTTGGCAGAGAGGAACCTGGACGAGGCTTTGCCGAAGGGACAAATTTTCGTCCGGGGTGGTAGACAGATCCCGAACCCGCTTATGCAGATTCTAAGGGAATATTTTTGGCCGAGACTACGGGCTCGAAGAAACCCACGTTAAACTCGGCCTTGTGCCACATACATTCCTCGTGGGGGGACTGTTAAATACAGAGACAAAGAACCTTAGTCTGAGAGCTACGTCTATAACCGCGCCCATTGGACTACGCCATTGATCTACACTTCTTACCTGCGACTACGACGCGTACCAGTCGATTACTGCTACCGTATTCTACTTGGTTATAGTAGCCCAAACCAATTAGCTACTTCGTTCAAATATATCCCTTGCCGGGACATATCACTTTTATTGCAATTACTTGCTTATCGGTCGTAGAATCTAAATCGACCTGGTCATTGTGATGAAAAAACAAAAGAAATAAAAATGTTCGTCAAAAATGAACTGTGGCAATGCTTCATCTAAGAAATTCGGATAAACTTTTACAAGATTGGGAATTGTTTTTAAAGTTCTATAAAATATCAACTGATTACACAATCAATAAAGAGCTGAGTAAATCTTAAAGACACTTCTATGACTTTCGAAAATATAAAAGATGGCATTGGGAATTTTTGCGTCAACCGAATCCTATGTGGTCTGAAAAAAATGAATTTCGATCAGTGTTAATGAAAATCTGAAACGAAGTTTAAAATGAAAATAGGAAAAGTTTTCTTTACAGATGAAAATAAGCTTCGTTTATTTGTCAAGGCATTTTCTGCTTGAATAAAAAGAAGG